GTCGACTATCGAAACACTATCGATAGTACTTTCGATAGTCGACTATCGTAAAACTACGATAGTCGACTATCGATAGTTTTGCGACACTAGTAGTTTGTGTGGCTCCCTTTTCTCTGTTTGTCGCTTTATTTTTTCAAATGGGATACCCAACTAGCCCAAGCACTTACCATCCCAACTTTGGTTCAGCTTTCAGTGATGCTGAAGACGGGAGTTAGGGCGAAGAGAAGAGGAAGGGAGGCGAGCGGCGGTGCGGCAATTGTGTTTGCTCCAGTAATGCGAAACTATCGATAATACTATCGATAGTCACCAGAAATCTGACTACCGATAGTAATAAAACTTTCAATAATGTCGCAGAACTATCGATAGTCGACTATAGAAAAACTATCGATAGTACCATCGATAGTCGACTATCGAAAAACTATGGATAGTCGACTATCGAAAATCTATTGATTGTACTATCGATAGTCGACTATCGATACTACTATTGGTAGTCAACTATCGGAAAGCTATAGATAGTACCATGGATAGTCGACTATCGGAAAATTATCTTTAATCGACTATCGGGAAAATTATCAATAGTCGACTATCGGAAACCTATTGATAGTATACTGTCGACGGTTTACTATCAATAGTTATGCGACACTTGTAGTTTTCGCCGCTCCCTCTTCTCTTTTTCTCGCTTTATTTTTTCAAATGGGACACCAATTAGCCCAAGCACATACCATCCCGACTTTGGTTCAGCTTTCAGTGATGCTGAAGACGGGAATTTGGGCAAAGAGAAGAGGAAGGGAGTCGAGCGGCGGTGCGGCAACTGTGTTCGCTCTAGTGGTGCAAAACTATCTATAGTTCTATCGATAGTATCGATAGTCGCAAGAAATCTGACCACCGATAATAATAAAACTATCAATAAGGTCGCAGAACTATCGATAGTCGATTATCGAAAAACTATCGATAGTACTATCGATGGTCGACTATCGAAAAACTGTCAATAGTACGGACTGATAGTCGACTATTGAAAAACTATTGATAGTACTATCAATAGTCGACTATAGAAAAACTATCGATAGCACTATCGATAGTCAACTATCGAAAAACTATTGATAGTACTATCGATGTCGACTATCGAAAAACTATCGATAGTACTATCGATGTCGACTATCGAAAAACTATCAATAGTACCACCGATAGTCGACTATCGAAAAACTATTGATAGTACTATCAATAGTCGACTATCGAAAAACTATCGATAGTACTATCGATAGTCAACTATCGAAAAACTATCGATAGTACTATCGATAGTCAACTATTGAAAAACTATCGATAGTACTATCGATGTCGACTATCGAAAAACTATCGATAGTACTATTGATAGTTCTGCGACACTATCGATAGTTTTGGAAAAACTATTGATAGTATCGATAGTCGATTTATCGATAGTTTTGCATCACTACTGTCTATACCAAGATTGTCCTAATGTTTACCAATTTCAGGTACACGCTGGGAAATATTGGGAATATTGGCCAGTCATACCAAGATTGTCCCAGTATTTACCAACTTTGGACGCAGATTGGGGAACTTGTCGCAATATTTAACCAAATTACCCACTCTTGCCCCAATAGTGAGCTTGCTTCAAAACAATTGTGGCAATGCTAAAAGATGTCCAACATGTTGACCTTGAAGTACTTCTAATACTGGTGTAATAAACATAAAAGCTTTAGGCCCCAAATTAAATGTGCTTTGTACCTTTTTTATTTTGTTATTTAGTTGACATAAATTTTTGTAATCTAAGAAGGCAATCTTCACCTTTGGTGAGGAAAAAAAAATTACACCTCAGCAACGATTATTTTGTATTCTAAAAATATGTGAATATTCGACATACTAAAACTCGAAACGAAGGCAAAAAATGACAACAAACACGACTCAAACGCAGCTACACAATTTGTCTCGAAAGTTTGTCTCAAAAATTGAAAGTGGTGCCAGCTGAAGGTGGCGTGTCCACCTTGCAGAGGGTTCTAGTACGTCAAATAACAACCAGCTTGCATGCCTAGTAATGTTGTCTTCAAATATGACTATTGTCATTTTTCTTAAATTAGTACTGTTTGAAGCAATAAAAAACACTGTTAGCCCTCTGTCTCAGACAAAATATATATCTCAAAATCTAGCTCCACGCATCTATGTCAGGAGTCTCAATCACACGGCCCGCAACTGGCTGCGCCGCGGTCCAGAAGCATTCCACAGCTGCGAGCTCCCATGTCTGGAGCGCAAGAAATGGCGTGCATCATAATTACCTTAAGGGTTTTGCGTCGTCGATCCGTTCATTTTCGTGACCACTGTTTCGTCTTCATCTTTGCTTCCCATCTGTTTCTCATGTCAACCTCTACGACAATCTGGGCCTCGCCTAGCTGAACTTGCCAAAGCCATAACCTTGGGCTTCGTGCCTTCACTGCTGCATGTCTGAAGGTGAAACAATGCATAAGTGGCCAGAAAATAACACTGATTGCGGGTCTTATTTTTTTAATACTTCCGTAACAATCGCAAGGAAAGTAAAAATTGTCATATGAAGCCTTTGTTTTTGGGGGGGGGGGGGGGGGGGGGGAGAAAGTTAAGCGATGGAAACGACAGTGTGCCGTCTTGTTTTATTGAAAACTGCCGGCACATTCTCTGGGTGGCATCAGTTTAAGCCTTGTTATCACATTGAATATGCATCCAAAGTAGTTATAAAAACAATTAAAAAATGCAGATACCCCTGGCAAATTGGTGAGTTTACAAGAAGCGGATAGTCTGAAATGTCTTCTCCAGAAAATTCCTGGGTGTTGCTGCCTTGCAATGTGAAGCTCCACTGTTGTTTTTCTTTGCATCACATCTTTTTTGCCCCACCCTCTCTCTCCCCTTACAATGACCAGTGATGTGATTGCTGCGCCAATTGCGCCAAACTGCGCCAAGGGGCTAACCCTGCTACATCCTGCTACATTTTGCCAAGATATGGGTAATCTGCGCCAAGCCTGCGCCAAAAGACCAATTTTGGTCGTCTTTCAAAACCGAAACTAAACTGAGTACCGTAATTGAGCGTGCATGGGCTAGGTAGCGCAAGCGGCCGCCCAACAAAAAGTACCCTGTATCAGTCGATCATCCGGCCTTGCGTAGTTTTTCCCGCCACCTTTCGTTTCACGCTCCCGTCGTTCATGTGGCTCATGCGGTTCATGTGTCTCGTCTCGCGTCTTTTTAAAAAAAAATTTCAACGATAGGCGCGGGCGTGCGTTGACGTTTCAGTGCTTCAGTCGTTGTACAAAGCGCTCTAAGTATACTTTTTGACCTTGACTCGCGATGGTCCCTTTTTTCTGTGTGCTTAGCTTGTACCTCGCCTGCCGGCCTGGCAAGCACGTGCTGCTGAACTGCTGTTTTTTGTCGTATGCTGAACAATTACGTTTTGAGCACAATTTTGGAACCAGTTGACGACGGAGCGGAGTGGCATGGTGTCTGTTTCGATCAAACAGCCATCTCCGCTCGCGCGACGAAGCACGTGCAAATGCAAGCCTGCAGAAGTTGCCCTCATGTGCATGCGAACATGACTGCACGACAGAGGCTCCAGCCGGGACGCTTGCAACCCATTGTTTTACGTTTGCTTACTTTTGACAAAAATCTGGCACGTCGGGAAGCAGTAAAACGGTGGCAAGTGGTTTTTCGGAATTGCTCGGCAGCGGCCACAGCACTGTTCACTTGTGGAATGTCTCAATGTCTCTTTGGGAACATTGAAAGTGGGAATTCATTACTATACTCTGTTTCACCTTATGTTTTACCGCAGCGGAGGCTAGAAGCGCGAGCTCATAGCATTGGCAGCTGCCCTTACTTCACGAGAGCTTGTGCCGCCGAGATGTGCCCTGAGGAAGAAGCTCGCGCTTGTAGCCTTTCCTCCGGTACATCATAAGGTGAAACAGAGCAGAGCCAAAGGCAAAGCGAGGCTTGCAGCAGCCTTGTAGAAATTTTCGAAAAGCAAAAAGAAAAACACCCGCTAGTCTTAATGCACCTTTGTCTTGTGTACAATTTCGAATTGCACTGCAGTAGTTACGTGTTTCATCCGTCGGAGAGAGTTTCCATTTATTAGATAACTACGGTAGTCAACCTAATGCTGTGATATTTACTAATAAGCTGGTCATTTTCAAATCAATTTTAATATGTGCAGTTTGGTTCTTATTTATCTATAATGTTACGTATATATGTATAATTTAACTGAAGCATTGTAAAATGTGTCATGTCATTGGCATTTCAGTTACATGTTGAAAGACCCCCAGGTGGTCGAACTTGACCATAATTCGTTTATTGGGGCGAGCGAAGTGTCCTTTGTTCGTCCAGCACTTAAAAGGAATATGTTTATTTTTTTAAGAATATCTGCTCCAAAAGCCACTTTTGCTGCTCCGAAACACAGTTTTGCCTGCTCCAAAGGCCACTTTTGCTGCTCCAAAACACCGTTTTGGCTGCTCCAAAAGGTGCTCCAAAACGGCTGAGGCCAATCACATCACTGAATGACCCTTGAACTTCCAGAAGTTGGCTATCTGGACCGCACATAGGAATGATTCAGACCCCCTGATCTATATAATAATATACGAAAAATTTAGATGGGAACTCCGCCTGAATTTCGAAATATGAATATTTTGTTTGTGAATCGTTTTGTGCCATTCCTGTCTAGTGCTTTCGCTTCCGTGCTGGCTTAAATGCCAAATTGTTTATATCTCGAATTATAAATAATAAGAAAAAAACTGCACGTGCAAATGAGACCCGATTCTTGTTCCATGCTTTACGGATGTGAAGTGTTCGTTCTGAGCACTAGCTAGCCAAAGTGAAAACAGTAATTCCTCTGTTTCCTCGAAACAAAATTGAGTTTGTGCTCAGGTGAGCCGGTGGAAGTGTACCATAAGGATATTAACCCGAGACGTTTCTCGGGTTAATATTACTGCGGCTTGAAACCAACCTTCTTCCTATGGCTCGGCCGGCTTTCTGTGCAGCCTCGGCCGCGCTGGAATGCGAGTGGCAGCAATGGATCTCGCGTCGCCGCTACTGGGCCCCGAAACGGATGTGGACATTCCTCTGGCCGTCATTGGCCTCCGGAGCCTCGCCATCCTCAGCTCCAGACTGGACGTGACCCAGATCCTGGTCGGGCCACACGGCTACCGGGACTGGAGGGGTCTGGCGGCCCTGGCCGGCTTTGATCGCGACAGCGTCGAACTCATGGGTCAGCGCGGGGAGAGCCCCACGGAGGCTCTCATCGATGCCTGGGTGGCACAGAGCAGAAAGGAGAGGGTCACCCTGCATCTCCTCATCCAGAATCTGGAGCTGCTGGAGAGATTCGATGTCATTGACGACGTCATGCCACACCTAGGTAAGAAGGAAGCAGCGTGAAGGCTGCAGGTCAAATGGGGACGGAAAGTATGCAGATGCAAATTTTTTTGCGGCATACTATGAAAATTAAATCTGCACAAACCTCTTCGTCACAGGGGCGGCAAATAAAGATGTCAGTTTAGGAGCTTGGGCTAGGCTTGAAATAGTCTTGAGGGTTACGAAAGCTCACTCAGCATTTGACACATCACTGAGAGCCTGGAGGGCCTGCTTGGTTTTTCTCTTGTCTGAGTTGGCTCAGCAGAATTTCAGCATCAACGTATCAGACAGCCAACGTCACTTGTGGCATATCTGTCATTTATAAATGAAATCGAGAGATTTTCTATAGTTTTCCTGTAAGTAGTTTGTGCAAAAACATAAGAGACATAAGTCCATGTCTCTTTTGCTTTTTGGTTATAGAGCCTCTGTAAAAAGGGCTACTCCATCTGCAAGCCAACAGCCTGTTTTTTTAAGTTAAAACTTGATATAAGTAATGCCTTCATATGACATTGGAGATTACTTTTGAAGCTTTTTACCTTAATCCGATCAAAATGAAGCACAGAAATCACCCTTCAATGTACCTGTCTTCCCGGAGCACTTTGACATGACATGATTCCTTATCGATTCCCTTTCTACTCTCCTTCGATTTCCTGTTCCCCTCGTGATTATCTTTTTTGCTTGTAAATGTGAGCTGGTTTGTGCGTGAGGGACACAATCTATTAATTTTCCTGTTTGTTTGAAATTTGTGATCATGAAAATGAGTGGCTCCATCCCTGCTGTCTGCCAAGAGTAGCAGCTAGTGGAGGAGAGAAAGAAGGAAAAGTAGCAAAGGTGACTGCTAGGTACATTGGCTGGATCAGCTGGCTCCGAGATGCCGATGATAATGGTGCTTCTAACATATAAAAAAGGCATAGGTGTTTGCTTAACGCCCTACAGCATTTCCTGCCATTCTTTTAATGCAAAAGCATTAACTGTCCTATGGAACGGAGCCGGTGGCGTCTGTAACCGTGAAAAACGGCACCTAAAAACCCGTAACCGCGAAAAACAGCACCTAAATTGGCTGCAATGCTTCATATCAGATGCTTTGTCACGGAAGCTCGTGCAGCTGCTCGTGGTCAAAGCAGACGCGCCTCGGAAATGAAACACAAAGAAAAGCACAGCAACGCAGATACCTCGTCACGGAAGCTGGCAGGTGAGGTCAAGGTCAAAGCGGACGCGCTTCACAAATAAAACACGGAAAAGCTCAGCAACGCAATGCTTCATCATGGAAGCTGTGGTGAAGCCGGCAAGGTTCGCCGTGCCTGCGCAGTGGCGGAGCGTGATGTCACCGCCGCAGCGTTGTGTTTGATAGAAAGACGTGGCGCGCTGCTTGTAGGAACGTGCTGCATGTAGGAATGCTTTTGCACTCCTACATGTAAGCAGTCTTAAGTGTCTCTGCTGAATTGTTTTATAAATAAAAGTTGTTGACCCTATATTTCACCAGTGGCATAGCCAGGAATGTTTTTGGTGGGGGAGCTGAGGTGGCTCGCTGAGATGGGGGTTCCGAGACATGGGTTGTGGGGAGGGGGGTCAAAAATGCATCTGTATAATTTAGGGTCGGCTGGATTTGGGGGGGGGGGGGGGGGGGGGGGGGGGGGAGGGAAGGGAGGGAGGGAGGGAGGGAGGGAGGGAGGGAGGGAGGGAGGGAGGGAGGCTGAAGCCCCCCTAAGCCTCCCCCAGGGCTATGCCACTGGATCCCACTCTATTTCAGTGCAATAACCAAATTCAGGAGGCAAAAAGTGACAGTAGGCTGGTCCTAACTAACTTCTTTTTCTTGATGCATCAGCTTCCTTTTAACGTATAAAAAAATCGGTTTCATTATTCTTCTTTTATTGTTATAACTAAAGGGTGACAAGCATGCAGCAACCAAGATGTGTAATCTGGAAACATTCTGGGGCAGGTTTCCTTGCCAGAACTGCCGAAGGTTTCTGGATCCCAACATTTTAGAACCTTTTTAGGTAATTTTACTCTGTGCCATTTGAGCTGCAATTGTGTTTTGTTGCGACTAAATGTTGGTGAGATGCCATTTTTTCAGCAAGGCCGCCTTCCTATTTAGTACAAGAACTGCACTAATGCACCTCTTTTTATCTTTTTCTAGATCATGATGTCAAATTATTCAGGAATAAGCATTCTGGTGACCTGCCTGGTAAGTTTAAAACACTGGCTTTTCTGGTCTTTTGCCTAAATTAAACTATTTTTTATGTTTACAGCTGTTTAGTTTCTTTTCTTTTGTTAAGGGTGTCCCAAATCACCAGGCTCAATCTAAACTGAACCGTAAAAATCGACGCCTGCATGTAGCAGTCTAAGGCGGTGACACAGGCGACCGAGTCGAGTTTTAGGGCATGTTTGGTGCGCGTATTGATAGATGGCGTTGGGAGCAGCATCATAAGGTGTAGCCGACCAGCGAAAGGAAGCAGACGACTTGCGGCCGGCCATTACTTCATTCCCACCGTAGTACAGCTTCGCTGGTCTTCCTTCTTCACCAGAGTGGAAAGGCTGGAAGTTTTAACTTTAAGTATTGCTTTTATTGTCCGCATTTATTTTTTATGGGGTAGGGTAGGGTAGGGCATATGGGTCATCTTGGTTTTAATTTTGTATCTCAAGAGGTACTGCATGTTTTATTGTGAAATTTTATGTATTCACTGGATACACCTTTGGGATTACTTTTCTGTTGCTTTTTTACTAAAGCATTTTTTATATTTTTAGTAACAGAGTGTCACATTTTAAGCTGAGTTCCAGTTTTTAATGTACCTTTTCTAAACAAAAAAGAGGATGCTCATTTATTTTGGCACATATCTTGTACATAATACTGGCTTTAAACTGAACCTAAAAAAAAAAAAAAATTGAAGATGCAGCATGCAAGAAAAAAAAGATTGTTCTTTTTAGTCATGAGTCATTAGAGGTAAACTTTTATATATATATATATATATATTTTTTTTTACATTATAATATAGTGAATTGTTAAAACGTTTAGGTTCAAACTGGGCAAGAGATTTTACTATAAGCTGTAAAAGTTTTAGTGTAATCGGATAAGTTTCTTAGTAAAGGTACATCAAATTTCCAAAAATTGCAAATATCTCATTTTGAGAAAAAAAAAAAAAAAAGATTTTATTCGCCATAATGGTTAATGGCCAGGGAGAGCGGATTTCGGCGCCATATTTAAGTGGCTTGGAACGCTCGTTCGCTTGCTGGTTTGGTTCCTCAGACTGCATATCATTTTTTAACACTAAAACTGCAAAATCAATATTTTGGTTGGCTTACCCTTCCATCCCCCCTTGACCAAAGGTACATTACAAAAAGATTATATTCATTTTAATAAATCCGGGTGGTCACGAGCAGTCTCGATAAGGAGGTAGATCCATCTATCAATACGAGCGCCAAGCGTGCCTCGCAACTCGACTTGTTCGTCTGCGTCGCCGCCCGCTGTTGACCCCGGCAAGTTTTTTGGTCCTATTTTTTTTTACAGAAAGGGAGCTACATTTTGTAATTTTACAAGAAAAAACTGACCTGTGAAATACACCTTTGACAAAAAGTTTAGATTGCTACGTACAGGCGTCGATTTTTACGGTCCATTTTAGATCGAGCCGGGTGACTTGGGGCACCCTATATATACAAGGGTCGACCGTTCAAGGTTGACCGGAACTTTGTCTGTAAGAACTCGCTGAACAACTGTAGCATGATGAAACTTGCAAAGGACAATAACATAATCTTTGTATTTTCTGCGCCTGGAATGACATGTGACGTATATGCAGCAGTTACAGCTATTGTGACTGCGACCAATGTGTCTGTAGCTGTGGAGCAGCGGTGCATAATCCAATTTCTGGTGAAGGAGAAAATTAAACCACCTGGAATTTTTCAGACGATTGCAAGCGCAGTATGGGGAACAAGCAATGTCACGAACAAAAGCGTACGAATGGTGGCAACAGTTTAGTGAAGGGTGACAGCCACTGACAGATTAGTCACACGGACACATTCGTCCGATCGCAATCACGCAGTCCAGTTCTTTTTACGCCAGATGAATCGGGGAGCAGCCAAAATGACGTCAATAGTGCCTGGAAATCCACGGGGAATAGTGCGTCGAGAAACTGACATAGTTTTGTGTTTGTCAGATTTCTTGTTCCCTTAATAGAAATAAAAGTTGTGATTAACCCTCATTAAGCAGTGGTGGCAGTGCTGTGCTATTTGCGTCAAACTGCACCAGAACGGACAGCCTGCCACATGCTGCCCCAAGCGCCGTATATGTGCACAATTTGTTCCCATGTCTGCACCAAAAGGGAGCTGTTCTCGAAAAGGAAACTGAAAGTGTCTGGCACGTGGCATTTTTGGCGATGCCACAAAAAAAAAAAAAAAAAAAAAAAAAAAAAAAAAAACTTTTTTTTTTTTTTTTTTTGGGGGGGGGGGGGGGGGAGGATGCCTAAGTACTGTGTGCGAAGAGTAGGGTGGTGCAAATATTCGAATAGTAGTTTCAAATAATAAACTATTTGATATTCTCTTAAAAATGAACTACAACATTCATACTTTTCGAAGTGTTGATTGTTGCGGGTTAGCTTCCTTGAGTCCGCTTCTCCTCAGGCGCGAATGCACTTCGGAGAAGCAATACCCATAGAGCTGACAGCGCAAGCTTGCGACTTGCTTTGCCAGAGCTGATCCGCGCTCTTGGGCAAAAAACACACCTTCAAAGTGGTCTATTGCACGCGTGCACCTAATGTATAAAAAAAAAATCGGGAAGCTTTGTGATTGTTAATATTTACACCGCAGCAAAATCTTTCAAGTTTAACTGTGGCTAGCTATATGTTAGGCAGGGGATGTTCCAACAACCTGCGTTCATTAGTCGTGCTTGTTTTTTCTTTCTTTTTAAATCAGAATCTTTTAATCCTGATTAGTTATTATATCTGCCACATGCCTCCATGCCGCGGCTACATTGTACGGTTGCAATAGTGCGCATGTTTAGAGTTTCACTGCTTTCCACCGGGGTGTTAGGAGCAAGAGTTGATGTGGGAGAGTGCATGGGTCAGAACGTTTAGCTCGGAAATTATGCTCAATACTGTTACAGGTCAACATTCTTGATCTTGACTATAGGTTTACCTCTAATTTCAAGAAGCTGTGCCGAGAGAGGAGAAAAACCGCGGGTTCATATTTGAATAGATGTGTTTGTCAAGGCAGTCCTGTGCAGTGTTCCATCGAAAGGGCAGCAAACATTGACTCGACTCTGGTTCAAACGCTGTTAAAGTGCAATGGCACTTTTAAAGCACGAATGCAGGTTTCCATAATTTTTGTGGGAGGTTATTTTTGCAGTTTATGAAATTGGTATCTTGAGTTTGGTGTACAGAGTGTAGAATAGGGAGGGAGAGGGGGGCTTTATCTCAACTGAAGTGTTGCACTATGCTTCATTTTTCAACCATTTTTGAAATGCCCATTGTAAATTGAATCTACCCTGATCTTTAGCCTCATTTTCATGTGACGGACAAAGAGATGTTGGTGTCACTGCAAAAATGTCAGTGGCTGCTCCAAACTAATATTTTGCCTGCTACAAAACCTGCTACAAAAGGTTCAATGCAACGTCCATTACTGAATCTAGGGTTCCGTTTTCAATGAAAGAAGACTGGTACAGCTCAGCGAATTGTCACTCATATTTCATATGCAATTTCTATCATTATGAATATGGGCAAATAAATCAAAGTGTGCAGCCTTGGAAAAAGTTTTCTGCACTCAGTTGCAGAAGTAGTCAATGTCAGCAGCCAGTTGTCCAAACCTGACAATCTTGAGGGCAAAGCATTCTGCTATTGTTCCTTTGGGGATTATCACTGATGCTGGATATATGTTATGTTCAATGCTCTTGATTTAACTAGTGTCCGTGTCTCGTTGCACTTTTTAGAAATTATGGATCACCAACTGGCCCAACCTTCCACCCTTGTTAACTAGGGCTATTACACGCATCATCCAGACTGCTGACTCATGAGAACCAGTGAAACATTATCTTGGTTGCATATTAGCTTGCACATACAGTCAAACCCATTTTAACGAAAGTGAGAATTGCGAAGCGAAACCATTTCCTCTCTGCCACAACCCTTCGCATCTCTCCTGCGGTGAACTGTCTTTTGTCTTGGTCCCTCGCCACGACCTTCGACGATGCTAAGCGAGTTCGGTGCTCTGTTGTGTCCGAATGGAACCTTGAAAAGTCGACAATCGTAGAGGGGTAACTCCAAAGATAAAACCAAACATGGTACTTCCAGTGACGTCACTGCGCTCCTTGCTCATAAGACGGTAAAAATTAAATCTTCAATTCGCTTAGTTTTTTTTATTAATTATATAAATTTCCGCACACAAGAAAAAATGGTTTTCTATTTTTTTTTTTGTGGAGGCGACATAGACCAATTCTCGCAATTAATTGGCCAAAGCTCGAAAATCGTTGCACTCCCCCTAAAGGCAGGCAAGAACTCTAGAAAGCTAAGTACAATTTATGGGAAAAAAGCAACTAACTCGTAAGCAAAACTTTTCAAATTTGTCTTCAAAAAGTCTCAGAAACACAGAATCCTATCACAAGATGGCGAGATTAATGTCATTTGGACTGCCGAGAAACTTTTTACTAAGACGAAGGAAGGACAGGTGTCCAGCTTGTCTTTCTGGACGTTTTGCAGGGTTTGATACACTGAGTGGTGTTCAAAGTCTTTGGTATCATCCGACTGCAAAAATATGGATGTGGTGAAGCAGTTAAACTATGCTTGTAACATGTGTGTAGGCTTTAGAGGTACTGGTATATGTTCTTTTATAGCATGCTTTTATACTGTGAAAACTGACTTTATCATAGAGGGGCTCTACGGTAAAAATCAAGGATGAAAATTATAAATGCTGCTCATATATTTCTTTGGTTTATTTCTAAAATCTTGAGATACACTTTTTTTTTTTTTTTTTCGATGCCAGAGGAAGTTTTTATAGCGGAGCCGTTAAGGGCTAGGTTCTCGAGGATTGTGTCCGGTACAAAACACTTGTCGACAAAAACGCCTCTGGACAGCTACCGCCATCTATAAGCGACGGCGGCAAGCACACAACCAGTATGGTTGCCGCCGTCGCTGGTAGATGGCGCCAACCTTTCCAGCTATCCAGAGCCGTATATTGGGAGAGTATGGCCAGTGGGTGGTGGCGACGAATCCGCTGGAGAGGAGAAAAGTGAAGGAAAGGGAGGAGAGCACCGGAGGAGTAAGAGAGAAAGGAGGGAGCGAAGAGGAGACGACCGCCATTTTGACGCAACGCTGTCGGCGCGCCGAGCACTGTTGAGGCTACGCGTCGTCTGCTACGGGCTTATTTCTTTTTCGCCTGAATAAAAGTTTGCGCTCAAGCGTGGAGAAACTTCATTTGTTAGCTTTTTAAGCCGCTGAGGAATAACGCTATATCATTTTCTTGCCACAGCTTGCCGAATAAAAGGAAAGAACCGAAATTTGCATGTCGATGCCACGCATTCTGCCAGGCAAATGAATGAAAATGGCGGCCCTCCCCGCTCAGCTGGGAGCAGCCGGGAGTTCAGGCGCATGCGCTCACGCCTCTTGCTCTGCGCTGCGGGCTGATTGGCTCACTCGGGAGGGGGGCGTTCCGGCGGCGAGATCATAGACTGGCCAAACTCTCCCCATATACAGCTCTGCAGCTATATTAGAAGAATGGATAGCTGGGCTGCGCGTCGGTGGGAATTCATTGTAGGAAACCGCGTGAAACACGAACGACGACAAAGAAGAAGCACACGTAACAAGCGCAGTGCTCGTCACGTGTGTTTCTTCGTCCTCGTCTGTTTTGCGCGCTGTTTCCTACGCTCTTATCAGTTTCGGTTTGGACTGAGGATGGGTCATCCGCGTGCCCTTTCGGGGAAAGAAGACTGGCTGTGGAAGGAGCGATGACGTTTGATGCAGCGCGAATGGGTCCGCAACCGCTGCAATGCCGCTGTCGCCTCGACTTCCACTGCGTCCAGCGCTTCAGATTCTCTTGCCAAGGAAGAGCACATCGCTCGCCTAGAAAGCCCCTGCCAAGAACAGAACCAGCGATGTAAAGGGCTCCGGCAGGCCAACGCCACGGACGACGATCGTGCCACGGAGGCGAAGCGCAAGCGCGAGGCCCAGTGACGACTACACTCCACACCGGCTGAACAGTTCCCGGGCGCGACGGCGATGTTCCGGAGGGAGTTCGTGGATTACCCGTTAGGCGTCACGTTACGTGCGCGTGTGTGACCGACTCTGGTTCGCCGGAGACGTATCCACGATCGGCGGCGTGTCGGACGAGAAGAAGCGGGAAGCAGGCGCGTGCGCGTTGCGGCAGTGTATTGAGTATAGCTCCGCTGGTCTTCCTTCTTCACGAGAGTGGAAAGGCTGAACGTTTTTAGCAGGGCTTATGATGTTGTAAGAAATGTTCTAAATTGTCTGTCCTAAGACCATTGTTATAAATATAGCATGGACAGCAATGTTTCTAGGTTGCACAATCTTTGCCTTAGCTGGTTTTTTTCTCTCCCTTTTCAGATTCAATATCGGATCCACTACTGAAACTCCCTGAAGGCAAGTTTTGGCATTATTATTTTATTATTTAACTGGGCTAGATTGTGAAGGCTAAGGGTGAGCAACTATACAGGCCATTGGGTCGTTTTCATTCCATTTAATTTATTTGATCCTTAAGGGCCCTCTTTCAGGGGCATTGCATAAGGATCGGGACAGTACAATAAATACTACAATTTTTTGAAAAAACAAAAACAGAATGCATTTTTATTATAAAATTTAAAGTTTGATATAACAGAAAAACATTGGTAGTCTAATTGTATGTAGCCAAAAGCAATAAACTTGAGTTCTTAATATATACAGAGTCAGTAATTGAAATTAGCAGTCCTGTGAGACTGTTCCAGTCCACAATCGTGAGTTCAGGCTATGAGACGACTATGCAGGAATATGCGGGACTTACCGTATTTGCACGAATATAACGCGACCACGAATATAACGCGAGGACAGTTTTTGATGCGCCCAAAAAGAAAAAAAATATTATTACTATTATAACGCGAACCGATGCCGCGTCAATTTCTCGCACTCGGGGGCACAGCAAAAGTGAAAAGTCAATGGAAATAGAAGAAATATCAGTTTATGTTTTGACTGCACTCATCCTCACTGTTCAGGTCCTTCCGTTTACAATCCACTTGGCGACTACGCAGGTATGCAGCAGCACGGCACCTGCTTGCCTGGTAGTTCTTTCTTCTTCCGTGGGAGCTCCTCGGCAGCCCACAATCCAGACAAGGCGCGGAAGCAGAAGCACCAACACACAAACACCAGACCACTTTGGAGCAGAAACTAAACAATGCGCTGGCAGAAAAAAAGACTGCTGAACCCGATACACGATCACACTTCTTGTTCTGATCCCTGTTCGTAAACAAATGCCTCGTGTTGCACGATTGCGTAAACGCGGTCAGTGGTCTTGGCTTGGCTTGTGTTGACTTGACTTGGCCCGGCTTGGCTTGGCTCAAATTGGCCGGCGTGCGCGCGTTGTAAAAACACAAAAGCGATAAAAATGCTTTTTTGTTTTCTATTCGCCCTTCACGTGGCCCCATGGCTAGAAAATGCGCCTCCACACCCCCACTTCTTTTTCCATTGGATCTTTTGCATTGAGCCAGAGGGATGACTTTCTCCTTTGGCTTTCTCCAGACTCGCGCGCCTTGTGGCTGAACTCGATTCCGAATATAACGCGAGGTGCGTTTTGGAGCACGTAATTTCGAAAAAAAACTCGCGTTATATTCGTGCAAATACGGTAACATATCTTGATCGGGGCTGAGATGAATTCCTAAATGCCGGCCAAGATCAGCGAGGAACTGTGATGTTTGGTATGCGCTCAAACAAGTTCAGGCTGCCCCGATATCTTGTTAACCCTTGGGATGGTTGCAAGGTACGTCCCTTCGAGCGTGCCGTCGAGGAGTCGGCATGTAAGACCCACCTGGCGACTCTTCTCCGATAAGCCAGGGAGGGCCGTTTGAGCTTCTTCAGCCGACTGTCGTAGGGCAACGCAGGTTCGTGTTGGCGAGTAAAGAATGTCCGAGTGGCACGCCACTGCATGCTTTCCAGGCTGTCAACCAAATTAGCTTGATGTGGGCACCAAATAGCGCTACAGTATACGAGGTGCAGAAGCACAAGCGCGGTATATAGAACATGGAAGGTGGTAAGACCACACACTTTAGAGACCCTTGTCACGAATTTTGAAAGACGTCTGGCTTTGGCAACGTGCAGAGAGAAAGTCAAGTCAGGGGTGAACGTCACACCAAGAATTGGTAATAATGTGACCGATGTAAGAGGGATTGCAGACTGTCCCCTATGATGCGCACTTGGATGGGTTGAGGAGAAGGCAGTTTGAGCCAGATCACTCCTGCACTAAAGACAAGGGCCGCTGAAGTTTGGGACAGCTTGCGTGAGGTGTAGTCCATCCAACCAGAGTGATGTCGTCACCATATTGGACTACTATGTGCGTGTCGACAGATTAGGGAAGATCATTAATGTACGTGGAGAACAGAGTAGGGCCAAGGACAGACTCCCGAGGTACCCCTGCCGAGACGGCAAAACGCTCGGAACGGGATCCTTGAAAGAGGACCTGGTTTTTGCATCCAGTAAGGAACCAAGCCAACCACCAAAGCAGGGGGCCGCAGTCAACTGCCCTTCCTAGCTTCCAAAGGAGTATAGCATGGTTTAGCATGTCAAACGCATTACTGAAATCTAGTTGCGCCATATCAGTTGAAATACCACGGTCACTTTTGTCACTGATGTATTTCAAGATCGTAGCCTTATACAATGTTTATGCTCACTCAAACAATCATTAATGCAGCGTTGAGTCTGCCCTATAAGCGACAGTCAAAAAGAATTTTGTAAACGACACACGACACACATTCCACATCACATACTAATGTCCACACAGCTGATACGCAGATACTTTGTATGTGTGCTGGTAGTTTTTGCTTCCTGCTGTCTCGGGGTTGTGTTACATCTAATAGTTGTTTATTTTAAGAAAAATGTTTCCAGTCTAGAATATACATCTTGCTTGCCGATGGTTCCATGTTGCAATCATAAAATTAAACGTTGAGATTCACTTGAGTGTCTTTTTAATCGTAATTCTTCCTCATCTTGGACCCACAGTTGGCCAAGCAGTGCAGAGTGGCAGAGTGTGACTGTGTTGTTTTCTTGTTGTTGCAGGGTGTCCTGTGTACGACGCATACGTGTGCTACACGGCCGAGGACTTTCCCTTTGTGCAAACGCTGGTGGAGAAGCTGGAGCGTCCAGAGCTGGGGATCCGCCTTTTCCTTCCCGAGCGGGACCTCTGTGCTGGCGTGCTAAAGTACAACACCTTCTTCCAGCTCATGGAGAAGTGGTATGTGTGCCTATGGTTCCCATGGCTCCTGGAAAAAGTTAGAAACGCTCATAACTTCAGTTCCGCTTGTGGGGTGAATTAGGGGTTGCAGCAGCTTCTTTTAAAGTGGCATTAAAGTGTTTTTTGAGGTCTTCGTTTTTTTGTCATAACTCAGTCTGCGAGTTCTAAGCATCCTTAAAATCCCGAAATTACATTCATGCATGGCCGATTTGCGTATTAAAAAAGTGATAACATTTCCCGACACTTACCGTTGGTGCAGAACGCCAGATGGCGCTACCGAACCTTGCTGAATATGGTCGAATGACGGACGGCACTTGTCAGTCACTCGCGAGCGATGGGTTCCTGCTTGGACGAGCGGCCGACCTGTCCTGCTCGTCCACGCGGGAACCCATCGCTTGCGAGTGGCTGACAAGTGACATCCGTCGTTCTACCATATTCGGCAAGTTTTGGTAGCACCATCTGGTGTTCTGCGCCAATGGTAAGTGTCGGGAAATGCCGATGCTGAGATGCAATACTCGTGAGGCAGGATCGGCACTGATATCTTCCAATCTCTGTGGAAGGACATGCTGTTTCATGCAAGCCACCCTAATGTCCCCATTTCCATCGAAGCCCATACATGTGAGCTGCAAAATGTGTATGAATGTGCCAAGTTGCTACCACGCTGCGACAGCGATAAAAGGAAACTTGTGCTTTGCGTTCTCTGTATTAGGCACGGTGATTAGTAAATTAATGATCTTTTACTAACTATTTTACTGTTAGATTTTTTTTTTTACACTTGTCATTTTTGTTTTACATTTCTCATCATCTGTTTTTTTCTGCCCTCCCCCAGGTGCAAGAAGACCATCATCATATTTTCCCCAGAGTTTCTAAAGTCCCACGAATGCCGCATGCAGCAAAAGTTCATTGAAAGTATCGAGATTGGTGAGTCCTTTTTTGTTTTGTTTACAGAACATAGTCTGTTCGCCCTAAGCTGACAGTGCGGTGGGAGCTATGCACTTGGTGGACCAATCAGCCGCCTCCCTTTCATCACCTGACCCCGCTCTGCGTGGGTGTGAAAGACGGTGTGAGCATGTGTCAAAAGACTTGCAACTGGTCCAAGCAGTGCTTTCACTACACTGTCAGCTAAAAGTGAATAGAATATAGTCTCATACAGTATACCGGATAATTGCCCGAATTTCGAGAAAAGAGAACTTTTGCTTTTCACGTGCTTATGAAATCATGCATTTGTTTTGCAAGGTAATTTGAAGTTCTCAGGTGTGCCTAATGCTTTTGGTAAAGAAGCAATCAATTCAAACTACAAATTTGAGGATTCTTTTTTGCAGTTTTGAAAAATAAATTTTTCTTTCTTGCAGCCTTTCAGTTGATGTAAATTATTTATTTATTTATTTATTTATTCATTTATTATACCCTCAGGACCGAAGCATTACAGAGGGGGTGGGCAACGGAAGTACAAAAACACTGAAAATGGTTAGTCCGGCACAAATCATGAATAGTAACTTGTTAGTGCTTCTTTAAAGAGAACAAAATCACCAATGGTCGCAATGGGTGAGGGAAGGCCGTTTCATTCACGAGATGTTTTTGGGATGAAAGATTTGAAAAAGGAATTTGAGATGGAAGTGGGTATACCAACTTTGCAGCAGTGATCGAGGCGAGAGGATATGTAGATGGGGGCACTGATTAGTTGCTCTTTCAAGAGTGAATTGGCATAGTAAATTTTATGAAATAAACAGAGACGGGAGATAGTGCGACGAGTGGAAAGAAGGGGCAGTGAGAGACTAGCTTTCATGGATGTGACACTTGATGTACGATGGTAGTCTTGCATAAGTTTATTTAGCCATCTTCCACAACTTATATTTGAAGAGTTCACTCATTATGTAACTTTAACTACTACCATAAAGTTCCGAAAGAATGCCCACCCAAAATGAAGAGATAAATGGCGAAAAACATGGGGTGGGCTATCTTTAGGAATGCCTTTGCAAAGCTTTATCAAAAATTAATGATAAACACCCTGGCACCAGCCACAAACCACTTGATGCAGTAAATGAAACCGCATATCGCTTACACCGCAAATTCGCGTTTCGCGTTGCAATCAACACGTGGGAATTCGCTACGAACTCCTGTGTCAAAAGGATACTGCAAGTTTCGGACGCAGAAGATTCGCATTTCACGGTGCGAAGGACCTATGGAAAGCCACCGAGAACTCTTATCTCATGGGAATGAATACCGCTAATCGTGGACGCAGCAGATTCAAGTTTTACGGTGCAACAAATATGAGGGAACAAACTACAAACTCGCCTGTCACGGGAACCAATATTGCGCGTGCAGATCACAGACAAAAACGCAGGAGTCTGCTACAAACTCGTATACCTGCTACAAACTCGTATACTACGGGAACAAATACTGCAGATTGCGAATGCAGCGGAATCGTATTTCACGGTGCAATATATACGCAGGACAAACTCGCATGAAATTGAGATTGCGCATGCAGATCGCAGACGAAAACGAGGGAATCCGCTACAAACCTTATGTCACTGCAGATTGCAGACGCAGCAGATTCGCATTTCATGGTGCAACATACACGCGGGAACAACTCCCGTTTTACAGAAGCTGATATTGCGTGCGCAGATCATAGAAAAAAAGCAGGAACTTGCTATGGACTTGCTTGTCATACTTGCCGGTACTTTAAATTGCGATGTTGATGTGATTCCCGTCATACGTTGCATGAAGTCCGATGGAAATGGGGGATGGGCAATGTTTCGGAATTTTTATGTTGCAGAAATTTAGCGAGAAAATTGGGATGGGTGATCTTTTGGGGAGTAGGCATTTTCTCGGAACTTTACAGTATGTGGAATTCAGTTGTTCTCAATTTATTCATAATTTCAAACAGTGAAAGGAGAAAGTCCAACTTGGTATGGGTCCTTTCATAATGCTAGAAAATGTTTTTTTTTTTTTTTTTTTTTTAAGTAAGTTTCTGTTAATATTAATTTGATTGTGTGTTCTAAATGTGCATAGTATCTGCGTGCAGAAAGGACTACTGTATTTTAAGAAATGAGTAAGCACTTTGAGTGTTCTCTTGAACCTGAAATTGTTTATTTCAGAGTTATTTATGGGAGGTAGGGACATCACCATACCTGTAATAATCTGTATTAACATGGAATGCATTTTATCTGCCTATTTCCATGGAGTTCTGCAACGTTTCACTGAACTGCATCACACCCATAGGGGACCATATAGAAAGACTTCAGACCCCTGGCAGGATTTGAACTCCCCACCTCGAGACTCTGGGCCAAGTGCTTTGCCGACTGAGCTATCCAGGGTCGTGGATCGGAGCATGCAAAGGCAAAGCTATTTGTCGGGCACGCAAACCCGCGGTCACGTGCGTTGCGGCGTTTGCTGTCATGCTGCATTATCTTGCGGCGTTGTCAGAAATACGAGCGAATCTTCGTTAGGAGCTGCCGTTCAGATGCCCCTCCTCTTCCCTGGAAGGCCTATCACACATTCTGTGCTTCCCAATCTTTGTCAGCATCATTAAGCTTTTTTATTTATGAATACAGGCTGTTTCAGCTGACTTGTGCCAAGGCTTCAGGAAGGCTGGTGCGTGCTACTCGTGTCGAATCAATGCTGTATTGTTCTGAATCCTATTGGGCAAGTCAAGGTTTATTTTGCCACGTGACAAACTGGCTAATTAACGCAGATTAATGAGCTAACTTTTTAAATATTTGTGCGCAAACCTTTCAATAGAGGAGTTGTGGAGCGTGTTCAGAAGCATCCCATCGTGTCATTTTCATTGAGGGAACCTGTCTGATTTTTTAGAGCTTTAAAGAAAGTATGCGAGATTTAAGGAACAATCCCACATGATTAAGGGCACATAACAGTTTACTCGTGGATAGTTATGTGGGATTTTTTGTGTTAATTAGCCAGTTTGACGCATCACAGAAGATCTCTTGACTAGGACTGTGAGCGAGACTGCATTGATTCGACACTTGTAGCAAGCACCATCTGTTTCTTAATTCTTGGCACAAGTCAGCCGAACCAACCTGCATACAACATCAAACCCATTTGGGGCTGCTATCAATCAAGTCTGTTGCTTTTCCCACTTCGTTAGTGTTCTTGTTGCCATGGTTCGATCTGCGCAGCTCGAGACCACGCTGCTCTTGAGCTGTTCTTTAGAGCATGCGCTTGCATCATGCAAGTGCTTGCCTGACGGGGCATTCCTTCGATTGATGCGCTTACGCTAGTTGCTATTTTAATGTTCCGAACTGGTGGTTTCTAGAAACTTAGTATACTTGGTATGTCCACTTTTCATCTCAGCAGGTTAAAAGGCTGGCACATTATAGAGCTTTTCACACACTTTCCACACCAGCTGTGGCATTAAGCTATAAGTAGTGGCAGAAATGTAGCCTTTGCTGAGCATGCTCTCTTCCAAGCAGGAGTTAAATCTGTGAAACCGTACAGGAACAAGCATTTTCAAATTAGGAACATATACTGTCATCGGATCCAGTGTTCAGCATGTACTCCTCAGAAAGACAGACAAAAATTACAGCCGATGCCTCATCCTATGGTCTGGGCGCAGTTCTACGTAAAAAAAAGATCATGGCCATTACGCTGTAACACCGCTATGCCCAGATCGAAAAAGGACTTGGTGTTGTGTGGGCTTGTGATAAGTTTCACGACTACATCTTTGTAACGAAGGTTTGTCTGGAAACAGATCACAAGTCCCTTGTCCCACTGTTTGGGTCAAAAGCACTCGACGACCTAATGCTTGGACTGCAGAGGATGCATATGCGCTTAATGAATTGCACATACGACATCACCTATGCACCCGGCAAAGACATCACGGCAGTTGACACTCTGTCCCCCGTCAAAGAAAACGAGAAGAACAAAATGGAAAGAGAAATTGAAAGCTACATACACCTCCTCCGCTCAGCATTGCCAGTTTCACTGCCTTCTTTGCAAGAGCTGAAAAACGAGCAGCAGCTAGATGAGTTTGGCGACCAACTTCGCTCTTTTATTTATAAAGGCTGACCAATTTTTGGCCACATAAGGACCATATCTCAGAAGTCGACGACATTCTGATACTCGGCTTCAGAATTATTGTCCCTAAGGAGGTCCAAGAGTCAACCCTCCACATTCTGCTCGAAGGCCGCTTTGGTATCAACGAATGCTGAGCAAGGGCAAGGAACGTTGTCTGGTGGCTATCAATCGATGTTGACATTGAGAGGCTAGTAAAGTCATGTCGGTCTTGCCTTCAACACAAAACTAACCGGAAGATGCTGCTGTTACCAAAAAGTTTCCAGAAAGGCCATTGCAAAAGGTTCATTTCCTTCATGAGTGGATCATGGTGGCTGATCATCATGGACTATTACTCGAGGTTTCCCAAGCTGGTTAAGCTAAGGAGTTTGATGAAAAAAGTGGTCGTTGCGCACTGCAAGTCCGTCTTCATACCCGAAATAGTTGTTAGTGACAACAGACTGCAGTTTTCAAAAGGACACGATTCTTCGTTCGCAGTTTTTGCAAAAGAATATGGAATCACGCACACAGCTTCCTGTTCCCACTACCCACAGAGTAACAATCTTGCACAAGCTGCCGTTAAACTCGTTAAGGGTTCTCTCGAAAAAACAGGTGACGTATACAGTCAAACCTCATCATATCGAACACGGATATATAGAATTATTGCTTATATTGAATCATTGTTGAACTGTCATAAGAATTACATGCATTTTAAATTTTTTATAGCAAACTCAGTCGGTTAAAAAATGAATATATCGAACTCCGCAGCACCTGAAAGCGTGCGCTCCGGAGACAGGCGGCAGGCTTTCCCGCAACATATCAAGGGATATGGGGGGCTTTCCCGCAACACATCGGAGGATAGCGGTGGCGTAGCAGGCATTTGCGACTTTCAGAGGTGCATGCCTGCGTAAAGCTTTATGCCTATGGTGCCGGGAGTGCCATCCAGACTCGGCGGCATACAGGCTCAGTCAGCTCAGTGGCTCAGTCGTACCGAATCGCCAGCATCTCCTGCATCGCTTTCTTTGTGCACCTTGTCACGGACGTCCTCCAACTGTAGCACCCTCGTCCCACTAGAGCGGCAGACAGCAACAAACGGCAGCGACACACGACAACGAGCGACAGGCAAGACCGACAGACAGCCTGTTTGTCGGAGTCCGCCGTCCCACCTGGTGGACATGACGCAGAACACGGGGGCAAGGAAACTTGTTTCCTAGTGGGACTGGAGTTGTCAACAAAACACTTCAAAATACACAGACAAACAGAGTCTGGCGACGCGGTTTTCGTGTTTTGCTCTTTGGGCATAAAACGCACCGACAAACATGGTGAAAATGGAGACGATTACTTTATTTCTTGATTAAAGCTTCCACTTCTCTTCATTTGCCGTTGGCGACTTTCCGTAAACAGTCGTGACAATCGACACCAAACTTTTTCCGAACTAGAAATGCCCCAATCGTTCCTTTTTTGGGCCGTTCAAGGCATTCTAGGTGAGCGCCTCGGAGTTTCACGCTGATTTTGACAATGTTTATAACTTCATATTTGAATGATCGAGGGCAGGCGCTCTTTGGTGGACAATACGGCATCCCGATTATCACAGAACGTGATGACAAGTCTCTCGTCTGCCGGAATGGCTTGCCGCGGAACGTTGTGTCCTACTTCGTGGTGAGCGGTCTTACTTTGGTCAGTCCTCGCACATGGGTGTATCCATCCTGATGCAGGGGCATAGACTTCGACGTCTTGAAGCACCATCTCGCGCACCAAGTTTTCACGAGCAAAACCAGCCACAGCAAATTCCCTTTCGCAACACGACCGCCCGGTGCCAGCCAGCAAGCCGCACCCGCGACCACTACGTGCAATCGAGGGACCGGAACTGCGGGGCCGGGAACGAGGAGTGGCTGGAGTGGCCGCCAAGGGCTTCTTGTTCCGGGAGGAAGGGTAGAAGGGTGGGAAGGGAGGCAACAGAAGGCATAAACGGGCGAGGAGGATAAGTTTGTCTCCGAGAGATGTTCTTCAGTGGGACTGCTTACTGCGCTTCAAGTCCAACAACAGACAAGAACTCGTCCGTCATCGATCGTTTGTTGGCGCTTGTCGGCGGTTGTCGTGGGTGTCGGTCGTTGCAGTGGGACAGCATCGGCGACACGGAACTTTGTGGTGTTGTCGGACAAAAACCGGTGTTTGTCGCTGTAGTGAAACGAGGCTATAAGGCCTGTGGCCACATCGTTCGGGTAGGATGAATCTTCGCGGATGGCGGAGACATTGGGGCATTTGTAGGGGTGAGCCATCATTCTGTGTTTTTTTGGAAATAAAAAAAAAAACCCAAAAAGGGGGGGTGGGCGATGATTCGAGATATTACGGTACTCTAATCAGAACCTCATTTCTAAAAATAAAACTCTGTGCTCTTTTCACGCCCTATTTTTGGTTCAAAAGGTAATACCATAAAAATACCGGGCAAGCGCCCACTCAAAATTTAGAGATAATCGCAAGAAAATGGGGTACAGGCACTGTCTGGCCATCAGTTTTACATATACAGTGTAGACCGCATAACGTATGTCGCGGGAGTCGCGAAAATCCGCACTATAAGCGGTACCGCGCTATAACCAAAACATCAATTTTTCAGGCCAAAATACATGCCATCAGACAACTTACCTTTGTAAAAGAATTTATTTTATGTTAGATGAAATATAAAGCTTAGTTTGAGGAAAGTCTTTGTTTCACCAGACTAGTACACTTCTCTCTCAAGTGTGTCACACATTTCGGGATAGAAATGAGCGACTTTTGCCTGGCGCAGCCTTTTAACGGCGTCGCGGGTTGTGGACGGACGTTGCGAGCGTTCAGGATTGCTAACCCTAATCACTTTTCTCCAGTGATGAAAACGCGTGAAAATTCGCATCCTTTATACGGTACGCGCCAGTAATACCTTCAACTTGAGCACAGGCATGAACTGCTCCAAATAAGAAACCTGGGCGATGTTCGAAAACACAAACGCTTAGAAATCACTACTGTAGTCGAAGTAAACAAACACGACGACACGGGCGTTTCTGCCGTCTTGAGAGTGCCGCCACGACATCGCCGCACGAGTAGGTGGATCTTCCCTTCTAGTACATGCTGGGTTATCATAGCGACACACAACAAAAATTCACAGTCAAGGATAGCGCTTTTACGCGGAACGATGAGCTTCCACCACGCCGTCTACGTCGACGATCACAACCGACGCCATGTTTGCGGATAGAAGCAGCCGGCCCGCGACCGGCATGCAACGCGCGAACAATTCTCCTCGACCTGCGATTGGTCCGTCGTTGCGGTTGTTTCCAATGCAGCGGTGGGACGCATGCACGTGAACGACACGTGCATGCGTCCCTCCGTCGCTATGGCAACTGAAGCCTCTCTCCTCGCTTCTCCCCGCTTCTTCGAGCAACGTCCTTGCGCCGCAAGTGCCGCTTGCGGCGCGGCTCGCGCCCCTTTATCTAGTGTCGCACAGGGAAGCGTGCTCGCTGCGCCGGTCAGTCGACGCGGTCGCCGGGTTGTTCCAGAAGCCGCACTATAACCGGTATTTCCCTTCGCGCGTCTGCATTTTAAGCGGTATGTAATTACATGGAGTTCTATGGGAGGCGAACTGGTGGTTTAAAAAAGCCGCGTTATACCCGGTCCTGCACTATAAGCGGTTACATTGTAAGTGGTCTATACTGTAAATGTACTGTGCATATTTTCTCAGATCTAACAAATTTGGGAGTGGGTGCTTAGTGTGGAATGGATGGATGCACGGTATTCTATGATAAGTAATATTCTCCAGTATCAAAGAGAAATCCTGTCATTATTATAGATGAACTTATTTAGTGATGCAATCACAATGTGCTAACAGACGCTGGCATCTGCTCCAAAAGCGTTGGTGGCTGCAACAAAACAATATTTTGCTTGCTACAGAACCTACCACTAAGGCCCGCTTCAGGTGGGGCAATTTCGCCCAGCAACTTGACATTGCAACACCAGCAACACGAGCCGCTTGCGCTCACACGCAGCAACTGAATTGCTACGACTTGCCATCATCATCATGAAATTATATTTTTCTTGCATTATTTAGATGCACAGTTACATGCTGAAAACACGTTTTTATATCTTTAAATTGCGTTGAGAATACTAATTCATCTTTCTGAAACAGTTTATTTCCAAAAACTATCCATTTCAAGCCAGAGTAAAGTCTTTAGTTGTCATCATCACCACCACAGCGGTGTCACGTGAAAATATTGCATTCCTGATTGGCTGCTGCCACTTCGAACGTCTCCGAGTTGTCCGAGTTGCTTGTTCGTTTTGAGCCGGACCCGATCTCAGCAATTAGTGTTGATCTAGGGAAAGCTGGGGAACAACCCGCCAACAACCCCAAAATTGCTGGAAAAGTTGCCCCGTCTGAAGCGGGCCCAAGGGTCAAGTGCCGCTTCCATCATTGTAAAAGGGAAAAAGCTTGTCCTGGATGTTGTGAATGAGAAACTTTTTTTATCACCACCTGATGGTGTTGCAGCATCAAGAAAAGTTCTCTCCTTTCGCTCACTATTGTGACAAAGACCTTTTCCTCACTATCGTAGCACAGAATATATTCAGTGTTGCTCCAGGCCCTATGCACGACAATGTGCACCAAGTTGCTATGTGCAACATCACTGGAAAGCCACACTGTACATTTAATGTTACTGCCTTTGCCACAATGTGTAGGAAAGTGTTGAATGTTTCTCACTTTTCTGATGCATTTTCTGGTTTGGTCTTTTGGCAAGGAAGCTACAGCATGTTACTGCTGTACTTGGAGGAATGGTGCTTAAAATCAAAAGGGGGAGAGAGAGATTAAATTTGAATAATTAAGTTGACTTAATATATAACTTAATGTAGGGCTATGGGTACTATTTGGCTAGGCGGCGCAAGCCACTGCCCAGTTTAAAGGGAACAGCCATCGTGTATTCATCCATCCTCCATTCTGGTATGTCTAGTTCCCAGAGTTGCTGCTGCAGCAGAAATGCCTGCGCCTCTAACTCAGCACTGAAGTACATGCTGGAGCCGGTTCTCAAAAGTAGGCTCCTATGGCAGTTTCCCAACTGAGTTGGATTCGTTCCATCAGTGTTACCATGTGATGTGATCCACGGGAGTAGTCAGATCTACTTGAGTAAGGTTTGGAACACAGGCAATGTAATGTAGTCAAACGCTGCTGTGTGGCTTTAACAAGGCCATGACGTTGGATTTTCGTTAGATGAGCCACCGGAGGCTAGCACGGGACGGGGCCCAGGTGGAACACCAGTGTCATGTCAAAGTTCGGCTGGGACTTGCGTTCAGTCAATCGGGAAATGAGTTCGAGCCGAACGCTTATGCAGCCTTCATGTGACAGCCTTCTCACATAACCATTCTGCAATAAAAAGCTGATATTTGCTTACCACATGCTTCTCCACTCAGTACTACAAATTTCAACTTGTTACTGTCAAAATTTTTCAGAGCAAGCTCAGCAGAAACTGATTCCAGTGGTGATCAAGCCATGTGCGCTCGACGGCATGATCAGGATGATCTCCAAGATCAACCTGTGTGAGACCGCGTCGGCCCTGAGCCACTGGAGCTGGAACAACCTCATCTCGTCCATCAAGAGCAGTGGCAATGGCTCCTTCGTGCAGCGTGCCCCCAGCCTTTGTGCTCTTCGGCTTGCGCCGTCTCCGCCGGAAGTGAGGGCTCCGAGTGCGACCCGCGCCAGAACTCCAGTCGCGGCCCCAAAGGCCGTCGAGGTTGCGTCTCACTCCCACAAGGGCAAGGCCAAGTGGCTCAGCGGGATTTTCAGCCGTAAAAAGAACAACAGTGTTTCGAGTGCCTCGAGCGGCTTTCAGAGTATGGCAACGCCAGAGTGAACTGCGTCAGAGTGGTGACAACGTGACGTTCATGAAGTGAGGCAGAAGTGGCAATACTCAATGTTTTGAATCGAATGTTACAATGGTGCTCCTTCACAATGGTTGTGCAATTAACTATTTGTTGTATTTGTTGCTTTTGTAATGTATCAGTATTCCAAGTGGGCGGTGTGAAGAGTTACTCGGTAATCATGCAGCATTAAAAGCTCGAAATCTCAAATGACTCTCGTTTACTGGTGGAAAATGACCTTGCTGAGCACAATCACTGCAGGCCATTCACTGTGTGACAGTGTTAGCACGAACACATCACTGCTTTGACAAATTTTACTTTAAAAAATTTACTCCTTAGATTAATTCCTCATATCACTTTCTACCACACTGTAGTAGTTTTGATAAAAGAAACTAAAAAAAAAAACAAAAAAAAATTAAAATTGCGGTGGCCAGTGCGTCTGCCGTGGCTATGACGTCACTCCTCTGGAATGCGAAGACCGGCGAGGCGCCCGCGGTGGCGGAGGAGCCCGCGGCGTCGGCGGCTCCGGCGTTGCTCCGGCACGCCAGCTGTGCGCCGTGTGACGTCACTGCTCCTCGCGCTTGCGCAGACCAAAAGCGCAGACCGGCGAGGCGCGCGCGGTGGCGGCGGAGCCCGCGGCGACGGGGCCTCCGCCCCGCCAGCTGTGCGCCGTGTGACGTCACTGCTCCTCGCGCTTGCGCAGCACGAAGCACGGCTCAATATGCGAGCCACGCGAAACTGCTCAACCTCGGTCAGTGTAGCTCACGCTACAAAACTGATTGCTCGTTCACGCTAACAGTGTTGCATTACGTGCCCCCCCTCCCCCCCCCCCCCCCCCCCCTCTCTGGAGGCAACTCTGCATACATCCATTTTTTTTCGTAAGACTTAGTAAAGGAGATTATGCATCAACGCAAAAGAGAACAGGTTCTCATTTGAGGTTTCTAAATGTATTCTGCACTGCAGACCTGCGGCCAGTTTAGTTCAACTGGCCGAAGGTCTTGCTATCAGCCAATCACTTGGCTCTGTTCATCCCCAAAGAATCCTTTAGATTGCAGTACTTAGTACCTCAGGTGGAATGGTGTACAGTGATTAGGGGTGATGGTCACTATTTGTGGTTGGCTATTCCAGATTGTAACAGTTGGGATTGTGGGAAATTCAATTTGCATAACACCTCAGTTGTAGCTCGGGTGTGATGCAATCTACTGTATACTAAAGAAGTATTAGGACCTTGCTTTTTATGAGCTTAATCAGAAAAATGGATATCCTTGCCGCCCTTGATAAGTAAACTATATATCTGTTGTATAAATCCGGAACCCTGCTTGAATACAATGCTAGCAACGGTTATCGAATGTGCAAGTATGGGGACATGACTACTTGGATGAAAAGATAAGTGTGGCGTTTTTTCGGAAGAAACAGGTTGCGAGAAAGAAAGAAAACATCATTGCCATTTGCATTCACAAGCCTTTTTCACTGAAATAATGCCTCAATGCCAATTATATCGTCACTTGGATTACAAGAAAGTTTTGTTTTTAGCATTCATTTTTGATCCAGTTAACAATGTTTCCAAACCTATTGTATTTGATGAATATGAAAAAAAAAAGTATCAGTAACTATGGTTTCTTGGTATAAGCCTTTTATTAGTAATGTTCAATTTGAAGTCTGCACAACAAATTTTCTGTTCCATTTATTGATTGAAATATAGTTATAGATTATATGATGGCTTCTGTATTTTGAAGTCGTTTTTTACACCTACTGGTAAACATTTCCCCAGCCACCGTTATTAAACTCTGCCAAAATAGAACCGAACAAAAACTGGCAACATATCGTGGCATACAAGTAGGATTCCGTGTTTTCGGAGTTAATTTCTCGTGAAATTCGAAGGGTGTTTTTCGGAGTTTATTTTTTTTGCTGGGGATTCTGGGTTTATAGGAGTTTATTTTTGCTAGATTCCCAATTCTTTGAAATTCATAATTTATTTTGCTGCGTAAAATAAAAAAAAAAAAAGGTTTGTGTACCATCAGCCGTTGTCCCTAAGGAACCTCGACGTGCTAAAAGGCAAACCCCTTTTGTCAGTAGTTCTCGATTTCAAAGGAAACTGAAGTGGAATCTCCTCGGGACCACTGCTGACCTTGTGCTCTTCTGAAGTTCCGTTGTAAAACTCCGCCTTTTTTTTCCTGTTTATTGTATCGTTGTGACCTCGAAATTCGGAGTTTTTCGGATGAATCAAAATTGACGGAAATTTTTCCGGCAAGTGCTTTTGGGGATTTTTTTTTCGGATTTATCCGAAAACACGCAACACTACATACAAGCCAAGTGCTTTCGTCAATAGCTAACTCCCGATTTTTGGGAATTCACTTAAAATGATTATAAAAAAAAACACACAAAAAAAAACTGCTTTTTTACTTTTGTGAAGGACCACCAGCGAAGCTGCAGCGCTCGTCACGTCACGTCACTTCGTCCTCGTCTTCTTGCGCGCTGTTTCCTACGACGAATTCCACCCCAACTTGCCGAATTATATGGATTCTTCTATCCAGCCAGTGGGTGTGACGAAGAAGACGCTGGTGGGGAGAAAAGTGAAGGAAAAGGAGGAGAGCACCAAAAGGAGCGAGGGTAAAAGGGAGCAAAGAGGGTACGACCGCCATCTTGATGCAACGCTGTCTGAGCAGAGCAGTGTTGAGGCTACGCGTCATCTACTACGGGCCGACTTTTTCGCCTGAATAATAGTAGAGAGTTTTAGAATAGCGCACGCTGAAGATTTGCTTACGCAAAGAATAGCGTCGTCGCCACTGCGCATGCGCCAGACGCTAACTACGTTTTGCGCTTTGCGTGCGCTATTTTAGCGCGCGCTATTTCTCGGAAATTGCGTGCTTACGCAAAGGGTCTTTGCGCTTCTCCAAGAACGATTCGTGATGAGAAGTTGGCTAAAGCCAAGACGAGCAAAGTTAAGAAAATGGCGGCCCATAGGATCACCTCGCCTGCAGGCGCGTGTGTATGAAGGCACTCTACTCGCCTGTAGCCTCGCCTCTTTCTCATTTTCCTCCTTATTCTCCTCACTTACCATGCCAACGTGACCACATCACGTGCTAGCCTTCGTCTTGCTTTGGGGTACTAGAATACACCACAGTCTAGCCTTCGATCTGATAAAACCTACCGGACGGAGCGCGCGCAAGCGTGCAAGGAGTCCTTCTACAATCAACCATCCATCTCACGCGTGACATGTCACGCGCACCAATCGCCAGAGAGCTCTGCGGTCACGCTGGGCACAAAATCGTTTAAACTCTTTATGACTAGGCTTCACCAATATTGCAACGTGCCCCTCCTATTACATCTAACCCCCTTGATCGTGATGGACGAGGCCACTGATCTCTATTGTAGTAGGCTGAATGGCGGATCGGGAGCCCGTCGCTCAAAAGTAATAATATTGAAGCATGTACGCTGTGCTCGGAGGCGAGTATTTTATGGTGTGCTGCGATCCTTATGTCGGGTGTTTGGAGATTAAATCGGTATTTGTCAAATGCTCGGTCGCCGATTAAAAAAATCAAACGTACCAGAGCACCTACGGCTGAGCTGGCAAGCTTGCTCTCGTTGTGGAATAAACAAAGGAACTTGCCGTCAATGAGACCGTCCTCGCGGAAGCCCAGAAGTTGATAAATGGCAAAGAAGTTCCATCTCGACAGCGGCTTTCCGGGAGTGAGCGAATTCTGCGTAGCAAAGCCTTCGAGCTTTTCGTCGGCTAAATCCAACTCGACGAAAGTGAACGAAACCGCCACCGACTCCGCGGTAACTCTAGCAGGGGCGGATCCAGAACTCCGTTTTGGGGAGGAGGTGGGGGATTTTTTAAGGATACTATTCTCCCATACTTTCTTGTGCGCGGGGGGTCCACCCATGTCAAATTGACCTCCGAGAAGGGGGGTCGACTTTGCATGGGGGGGGGGGGGGGGGGGGGGGGGAGGGGGGAGTGGGGGGGGGGGCGGCCATTTCCGTCGCCTCCCCCTTGGATTCGTCCCTGAACTCTAGGTAACTCTCGCCTCATTGAGCTGCACTATACTTTTCGCCCAGCGGAGTCACTGTCGACCACAAAATATTTATTTTTAAGAACTGCCAGGGCTGTCAGTTTTAATGGTTGTACGCAAGCTATGCGGAGGGCAAGTTCGTCTGCTTCTTGCGCAGGGGGTAGCGGTGATGTCAGAACACCGAGCCCTGATTGGCTGATCGCGACGCTCAGATATATCTGGGCGTCGTCTGCTCCTTTGCAACGTCGTCTGCGTCTGTCTTACCTCTCCTGCGACTTTCGAAAGTGCAGAGGCCAGAGGCGGTTCACAAAACGATCTTACGCCAAAAATATGCGTAAGACAAAACTTGAGAACAAATTCGTATTCACGAAACGAAATTTTCGTAAGTTTTGCGCAGGTCACGACCATAGAGTGGGTCGTGGTTACGACGGAATCCTACGACAGCTCCGAAGCACGACCCAGAGTTGGTCGTGCTCCGAAGCTGTCTTACGCACTTCTTAAGGCCCGTTCACACTATTGCAACCGAGTACGACCGAGAGAGACCAGACCGGTTTTAAGCCTCTTGCGACCTCTTAGAACCGGATGCGCTACAGCGGAGCTGGTCCTAAGACGTCGCAAGAGGCTTCAAAACCGGTCTGGTCTCTCTCGGTCGTACTCGGTTGCAAGAGTGTGAACGAACCTTATCAAATCAGCATGGCCGACAGCGTCGCGGTTGCGACGACCAACGGACGTTTAGTTTTCTACGTGCGCTTCTCACGCGTCCCGACTTCAAGCAGCGAGAAAAAGTAAAAAGTACTTGAAACAGACCACGCCGAACAAGAACGCTGGATCTACAAACACCCGGGAAAAGCTCCAACGGCCACGATTCCACCGTCAACGACCAAGGGAGCACGGCAGATAGGCCTGGCAGGCACTCCGACTCGGCGACCGTCTGCCCACGACCGGCTGGCGTGCTGAATGGAATATGCCCGCGCGTCCCTTGTGAACCCTTCCCGTCTGATACTTGGATCGCTGACCTCAATTTTAGATTAAGAGATCAATCTCTTCCTCTTGTCATCTCCTTGTTTTCCGAGGCAACGGTGACTCGCCGGTAAAAAAGCGGTGAATCTCCGACAGAAGCAGGAAAGGCAGCCATCGCTTTGACTAGCAGACGTAAAGTAGACGACGTTAACTGAGTGAAGAGTCTCGCCGCACACG